TTTTTTTTTGCGGCTATGCTTAATGATGGAAAATCCAAATTGTTGTTATATCTTGTGATTTTAATAATAACTAATATTTTCGGCAGTTATAGGAAAGCACTGCGAATGATGCATTATGCAGATCATCATGGCTTTCCCATTGTCACTTTCGTTGATACCCCTGGGGCGTATGCTGATCTCAAATCTGAGGAATTAGGCCAAGTCTGATATTCCTGTAAAAAGCCAAAATTATTTTAATGATTTAAATATGAACATGCTAACTGTTTTATATATATATATTTTTAAGGGCGAAGCTATAGCTCAGAACTTGAGGACTATGTTTGGTCTGAAAGTACCGATTATTTCAATTGTTATGGGCGAAGGAGGCTCGGGTGGAGCTCTAGCTATTGCATGTGCTAACAAGCTGTTGATGCTTGAAAATGCAGTTTTCTATGTTGCCAGGTGATTTTGCTTATTCATAATGCAACTGCTATAATGCAGCTTAATATGCTTCGAAATAGATTTTTTTTTTTTTCCTCACCGGATAATATTTTTTGGACGGAACTATGATTGGATACAAATTTTTAACTCAAAATCCAAAGTAAATCTAATCCAACTTAACTCTTCTCAATAATATCACTATAATTAAATAATTTCAACCAATAATTAGTACACGATTTCATATTTTGTAATTACCAATCATTTACAATCATTATTTTACCACATTTTACATCTTGAATAGTTACATCTTTACTCATATTCATTCACAAACTCAAAATCAAATCCAAATTTCCACCAAATCAAACTTTTTTCCATCTTAACTCGGCTTTTATCCAATAAATAAAATCCAATACAAGAAAACTTACTTCATTTCGCATTAAGGTTTTGTGGTCGATTAGAATCTAGTTTCCATCATCCTGTTTTTTCGTTTCTTACTAATATTCCGATATATCGGCACTTTCCATTTCCATTTGACAGCCCTGAAGCATGTGCTGCTATCTTGTGGAAGGATGCAAAACAGGCGCCAGCGGTTGGCCGGCTAAAGATTTTTTATTTTTTTTAACTTTTCTTGCATGTATTTAAATGATCATGCGAAACTTTGGTAACTTTATCTGCTGTTTTTCCTTTTCAGGCTGCTAAGTTGCTTAAAATTACTGCTACAGAGCTGAGCAAGCTTAAAGTTTGTGATGGCATCATTCGTGTAAAATTTATTCACCTTCTTCCTTTACTCCTTTTTTTTATTTTCTTTGCACATTTATTATTTATTATTATTTTTCCTTCCATTTTCTTTTTCCATCTATGATGTCCCTGTAGTTGTAAATTTATTTTATGCTAAGAAACACAATAAATGGTTAATTCTGTTTAATATTGATGATAGGTAGATAAACACATGGTATTTAAATTTTGCATTGTTCAATTTAAAGTTATTTGAACACATAGATCATGTTAGGCTATGTTTGGTAAGATCTAATTTATAGCATATAAGTGAATTTCGAGATTATTTGAATACAAGAAGCTTATAAGCGCTTTGTGTGCTTACCAAACACTCTTAACTTCTTACTACACTCTTCTTCATAATGCATTGTAAAAAAATAAAAAATATAAAATTGATCTTGTAGGAACCTCTCGGCGGTGCACATACGGATCCAGAGTGGACTTCGATGCAGATAAAAAATGCAATTCTCAAGGGAATGAAAGTGAGTGATGTGTCTTTAGGGGTGTATTCAATTGAGACTTTTAGAAACTTCTGAAGACTTTTACAGTGAGTGACTTTGGTGGATTATATGAAACTTTTAATTACTTCATTGGACGTTTTCCGTAGCAAAATCTCACCAATTTGATGAGCTTTCTATTGAGACCTTGTCTTTGTAATTTTATTAAAAAAGTCTCCAGAAGTCTTATAAAGTCTTTCTACGTGACTTATTGAGACTCTTAGAAAGTTTCAATTGAATCCACTGGGACTTTTAGAGATTCATAAAAAGTCTTTAAAAGTCTCAATTGAATACACTTTTTAGAAGTCTCAAAAGGTTTCAATTGAATACACCAAAATTTTGAAAGTCTTAAAAAGTTTTTAAAAATCTTAATTGAATAATCTTTATTAAATCCCTTATCAAAATTTTCCATCTTATTATGCAATATTCATGAAAGAACCTCGAACGATATCTGGTGTAATCTGCAGGAACTTTCGAAAATGGATACGAAAACCCTACTAAAACACAGGGCTGAAAAGTTCCGGAAGATCGGCAGATACAATGATCGAATCAAGCGAGCCCCGGTCGACCCCGTGAAGAAACGCAACATGAAGAAAAAAGACATACCCATTGAGGAAAACCCGATGGCCGAATTAAACAGGATGGCTGAAAATTTGAAAAATGAAATTGATTCTGAATTTGAGAAGGCCTCAAAGGTTCTCGGCATAGATGATAAAATCTTGAAGGTGAGAGATGAAATCAAGAAAAGAAGGAACTCGGTTGATGAGAAGGCCATGAAGGAAAAATTCGAGAAAATCAATAAAGAATTCAAGAAGAATCTCCACACGGCCCCTAATTTCCCAAGCATTGTATCCAAGCTTCAGAAGCTGAACGAGCTGTCCAAAACCACATCGAACCCACCACCGCAAAAGAACTCCTCGAACAAGAAAAACGAGGTAAAACTCAAAATGGATAAGATATCCGAAGAGCTCATCAAACGGCCCGATTTGAAGCACAAGATCGAGACGCTAAAGGCCGAAATGGAGAAATCGGATGTCGATTCGAATCCCGAGCTAAAGGAAAAAGTTCTGCAGTTACGTAAAGAGATCAATTCGGAATTCAAGAATTGCCTCAAGTCTGCCGGTCTGGAAGTGGTCCCGTTGAAGCGTAACGCACTGGAGAAAATCGGTTCGTATGGTGAAGAAGTTAAAACGTTAATCGGGAATGTTGCGAAATCTTCGGGTTTCAGGGAGAAAATCGATGTTTTGAAAGAAATGGTGGCGAAAGCTGGAAATATGCCCAATGAAAAAACGAAAGGAAAGATTCAAGCTTTAATGGAGGAAATCAAGCGAGAGATGAGTGAGGCTATTGTAAGTTCTCCAGAGTTGAAAGAGAAGCATGAAAAGCTGGAGAAAGAGATATTGGGAGATGGCAAAGCACCGGCTGGGTCAAATGATGGAAGTGTGGGCGAAGATGACTCGAAAGTGACGCTCGAGGTGGAGACTAACCACAGCTTTGTCTGATAAGTAAGTCTATGTTATCTTTTGTTGTTATTGTCTTATGGGATCTTTATTGTCTTTTGTTGTAGAGTGTATTTGTGAACTCTTAATGAGGTTTTTGGAGCTTTTAGCTTGAAAAAAGAAAAAAATGGCTTCATTTTAATGTATATGATTTTTTTTTAATAAAAAATGAAAACTAACATTTCCATGATATTGGCAGAAGCCACTTCTCTTCACAAATATCCATACCATTTTATATTTGTTTTTATTCAATAGTTGAAAAATCTTAACGAGGCGTATAGAGCTTTTAACTTGAAAAAAATCGCTTCTTTTTAACATATATGATTATTGTTTTTTATCATAAATGAAAACTCACATTTCATGATAATTGGCACCCTATCGTTTTATTTTCGTTTCTATTCAAAAGTTCGTTTTTATAGCTCTAAAAAGAAATATATATATATATATATATATATATATATATATATATATATAT